GGAATTTACCAATGTTTGAAAGAAGACCTGGGGCAAATTGTTCCATTCTTGGACAAGAGCAGCTTCTAAAGCAGCAATGGTGTGCATCTGTGGTCTCCGATACAGACGGCGTCCAATCTCATCCCAGACATGTTCTATCGGTGCCATTTCCGGAGACATGGCTGGTCAGTCCAAGACATGGATGTTGTTAGCAGCCAGGTAGTCCATACTAAAACGGGCGGTATGCGGACGTGCATTATCCCGTTGGAAGTGCTGAAGTTGTGGGTGCGCTCGAAACATCGGAACAACAATTGGTTGCAAGACATCATCACGGTAGGCTACAGCATTAACGCGACCCCTGCAAATGTGTAGGGCGGTTCGGTGATGAAATGTGAAGCCTGTCCACACCATTACACTTCCCCTACCCCATCGATTCGTTTCGAAGACGCAGCAGTCTGCAAGACGTTCCCCAAGACGTCTCCACACACGTTGACGGCCATCAGCGTGATAAAGATGAAAGCGACTCTCATCACCGAAGAGCACACTTTGCCAGTCTACTCTTCTCCATTAATGGTGTCCTTGAGCCCATCACAAACGCCGCTGATGGTGATGATCCGTGAGGATAGCTCCAACATAAGGTCGTCGTGCACGAGGTCCTACTTCTCTTAGACGACGTCTTACGGTGTTGGCACTTGCTGGTCCTTGTCTTCCGACGACTGCTGCACCTGTTCGAGTCGCTGGGCAGAATCTGTCACGCAGATGAGTGACCCGGATGTAGCGGTCTTGAGCCTGGGTTGTAACGCGTTGTGGACCAGGACGTTGACGGTCACGTGTTGATCCAGTAACTCGAACAGGTTCCACCAACCTTACAATAATGGACTGATGACAATTGAAGTGTCTGGCAATAGCACGTGTAGACATGACAGCCCTGGACATTCCCATGGCTTCATTCCGTTGATTTTCAGTAAGTCTCGGCATCTCTAGCTCGATTCCTTCACACGTCCAACAACAAATTACGACAGATTGACGTTTCACAGTTCATGTACTGCACATTAAGTTGAAAACATGCTTTTAAAGGGCTCACACACAATGCTGCACGTGAATATTGGGTTTTTCATGTGCATCTCGTGCAATTTTTTATTTTTGCACACGGGCCGATATTTTTTGCGTTTGGGAGCATTGTGTGAAACATTAGTTCATAGTATTGCATAATATTATACATACAAAACCACCTAGTAATAAAATATTTTGGAAAAAAAGTGATGCATTTCTGTTAATATACAGCTCACATAATGTAAAATGACATATGGTTGTATTTCTACGTTTGATGTAATCTTACATGTGGATAAAAAGGGAATAACCGATGTGGTCACTATTTGACAGTTAATTTACAATTTGCTGTAAAAATAATAATTCAAATGGCATTTCTGTTAATATACAGTTCACATAATGTAAACTGACATCATAATATGGTTGTATTTCTACTTTACGTTTGATGTAATCTTACATAAGCCTTGTATATATATGCATTTAAGTTAACAAACCACATGTGATATTCCAAATCGGACACTGTATTTTAAGTATACTTATAACTGTAAATATATAAATGTATATATATACTTTTAATTGGGATCTTTTACGTGCACGCCAATGCGTACACGGAATCTCGATGTTTCGTACCATCCGAACGACTAGACAGTTATCCTTGTCCAGTCTGCATCACTGGAAAGGGGGAACCACATCGGAAAATCTGGATGAACTTTCTCGGCCAAAGCAGGTATCGAACGAACACTCGACCTCCAGGCTAGCGAGCCAGCGCCCTGCCCACTTAGCCACCGATACCCCCCCCCCCCCGCCAATAAGTGAACTATAGACGAAAAGTAATGAGGTCTTAAAAGGTCTATCAATGTTAAGGTTCTAAAGAGATGTACAATTACATGTTTCCTGTAAATTGTACACAAATCCCGTATTTAAAAATGTTTGAATAGTAGAATAACACATAAAAACAGTTAAAATACAGCATACATGTACGTTAACAAACATAGTTGTATCAATACAGGTTACATGTAACAAAATACAGTTCTAACTTGTAAAACTACACTTTTATGGTTAATATACCAATTTTTACCGCATTAATACAATAAATTTATTGTATAAAAACATACTGTGGTATTTTTACAGCGTTATGTTAAAGAAATTACATATTTTTCACTGTAATTTTACATTTATTTTTAACAGTGTATGTTGTATTAAATCCCAGTGTCTGTGTTTAAGCAAAGTGAACTCCTGTTTCCTTAGATGTCGCTGGAGACCGTGTATCAAACATTTTCGAATCCGGTACCCCACCCCACCCCCTCCCGCGCAGAGTTGCTTGTCTCGGGGCCTTGAGGCAGGCCACGCCCACATCCAGTATATGCCTTATCAAAAACACAGTGTCCACATCCGGCTAGCTATTTTAAACTGCCAATTACCCCCTGACTGGTTGACGTTTTTTCACTCACTGAAAATATTATTGCTACACAATTATTATGTCTGATCAGGTACATGTTATTTTACTAATTAGACGAAATAAATCTACCACGATGTACTTTTGCTCTAAAAATGAGCGAAAAACTGCCTTACCCAAAACAATAACAAATTTACCAACACCAAGCAATGTTTTGGTAATTGTCTGGGAGTAATTGTCCTAGAACCACTTTCACGGTCGGACCCCAGTGAAATTTATGAATCCCAACAGGTACGTTCAGTTTGTTCAATAGGCTCATCATATGGGATCTATGAGTGGCAGTCCCATGAGCCACCCGGATACAGTGAGGGCTCAGATCTGGTCCCGGGAAGACCTAGTGGGAGCTGGGCGCCCAGATGAGCCAATAAAGGCGGGGTCTGGGAAGGCTGAAGGCTTGGAGTTCGGGAACCCAGTTGGGTCCCTAATTCTTCTCTATTTGTGATATGATAAATAGTCATGGACACTTGACATGCTTTGAGAGTATGTTCACAGATGAAGAACTTATCCCCCCAACAGATTCACTGAGCTGCATGTGCGACACGCAAAGCGCCATACACGTGGGAGGGGTTCATTGTCAAATTTGACGCTTCAAGGAAGGGTTGATGAAAACTGCCGCATATGCTGGTTTATCCTATCCATGTTTGCTTTCATATCGGTTCTTGCATAAGATATACTGTTTAGCGTATCTTTGCTTTAGTGTGTTACGTTTAATTTGATCGGGAGACGTGTTCGTCGACGTCAACGTCAACCGACAACACTGCAAGAAATGGCCGTGGCACTGCAAGTGGAGTGGGTCAGATTGCCCCAAATCGTGATTGGACGGTTGATTAGGAGCATGCTGAATGTCTGAGGATTGGTGGAGCAATTACTCATTATTAAGACAAAAATCAAAAACGTCCACTTTCACTTTTGACAGGGTATCTCTTTGCGAGTGAAATGGGGCCGTTAAATAAGCCGCCCATGTGAACTGTTTATCATGTGTAGGCAATTGGCCTGTTATTAACATACACTGGTTACCTCTAATAAAAACCGCAGTGCATTTCCGCAGTTTTGTATTGTTTCTGAATACCCCCTACTTTTTTAAGAGTATAGAGTATAGTATCAAAACATTTTTTTTAATATTTTTCGTTCCTTTTCGGATTGTTTTCGGTACTTTTCGGATAGTAAAGCGGACGACGGATCTCCATTGGAAAAGCCTATAGGCAATTTTACATTTATAATGTTTCAAATTACTTTTAAAAATTCTGTAATAAAACATTAAAGATACATTATGGGAGATAAGATAAAGAGATGGCAGTTCTCGCTATAATAGTTAAAAACTAGATGGTGTAAAGGTAATTTGCTGAAAATTTCAGTCAAATTGATCCACTATGAGCCGAGAAAGAAGCGGGTGAAATTTTTGCATAGTCTCGGTCATCATTACTAAAATCATTAATATAAACAGCACAGTCTCGATTATCCACTTTTATTGATTTAATTACCAATAGCCGTTAGCGGCATATATGAATCTAATCCAGCCAACATCGAAGGCTAGCCTTGACATCGAGAGTTTATTATGGTCTGGATAAGTTAATTAATGTCTAATTGATAATTTAGATAACATTTCAGACCTAAAGAAAGACTTGTAATAAGCAGATTTTGCTCTTGCATAATGCATGTTTAAGCACTGTATTACTATTAAAGGACAATATTGGTGCCAGTCACTATCACATATGTGATAGAGTTGGTTAAACACATTCCAAATATAATTTTAACACAGAGATCATTGCTACCATAGCTGAATAATACAGTTTCCTGAATCGGAAGTGACGAACGCCAAAGGAAAACACGAGTAATCCCTCTATATAACTGACTGATGTGACGAGTGATAACAGATAGCCTACACGGTCGAATTTCTGCTCACTAATAATTCCTCCCAAGACCAAAAGTTGCTATATGGGGCTGTAAGAGGATGCCTGACAATTCAATAAAGTAATTGAATGTCATAAGATAAAAGAAAACGAGAAAAATTGAAATAGTCCGTACATTCCCTTGTTTATATCCATTCTATTGCCTACGGTACCTTATAAAAACATGGTAATGCACGGACTTTTTCTGTTTTTCTTTCGTGTTCTCTTATCTAGTGGCAGTCAATTCTTTTTATGAATTGTCATATCCTCTCACAGTCTCACACAATAATTTTTGGTCTTCGAAGGAATTATTAGTGAGCAGAAATTTGGCCGTGTATCTGTTATCACTCGTCACATCAGTCAGATATGACTCGTGTTTTCCTTTGGCGTTCGTCACTTCCGATTCAGGAAACCTCAACCTATATTACTCAGCTATCGTAGCAATGATCTCTGTGTTAAAATTATATTTGGAATGTGTTTAACCAGCTCTATCACATATGTGATAGTGACTGGTCCAGATTTTGTCACAATAGTTTCGTTCCGCGTTCCGCATTCCGTTCCGCGTACCGGAAATCCAGATATCGGTTGAAAAAAAAAACAAGGTGCGTTTAATGATTTAGTGTTTGGTGAAAAGGACAGATTTGTCTGCTTCTTTCAAAACTAAGAAATAATCTGATGACTTTAGCTTGTCTATTAAGCATATTTTCCAGTTGGTGACTTGTGTATTTATTTCGATTTAGTCAAATAATTGTCTAAGTTACTTACTTCCTGTCGATTAATGGAGGCGGACATTTTTGATAAACTGAAAGTAGTAGATTTTTGGGCCGTAAGTCTTCTTAGAATTGACATAGTTCGTGTAGCCCTGTATTAGGGCCTACGCCAAAATCGAATTCACTATATATTGTCATTTCGGATAGAGAGCAGGGCCGATAATATTCGTTACTAAAGTAACTACTACATGTAAGCTGCTAATGAGTAATACTAGTAGTCATATACGGTACCTAGTTTAGTTCAAAGTTGCGATAATTTATATTTATTCATAAAATAAAGAGGTTTTAGGATTATGTTTGAAACATGCTTTTGATCATGTTTGAGTCTGACATTGTCAATGACAGGAATATATTTGCCATGCCCTATGGTTTTTTTAACAAAATTTTTAAATTAATTTGGACTGATATAGTGATATGCTGGCTAAATAAGGAATACCACCTGACAACTCATCCCAAAGACAACTCATCCAAAGCACTCTGAGTATTTTCATCACATATGAAGACAAAGTAGGCCTACTTTAATATGGTCACTAAAGAACTTACCTATGTGTTTGAAATCACCATTGGTTAAATATTCCAACCAATAAAGAAAAGTTGCCCCTTGAAATTTCAACACATCATTCATGGCCCTCATCACGTGTTGGGTTGAAACCAATGAAGCTGTTGTTGTTAAAAGAGTATCGCAGATTTTGACCATCACTTGTCACAGTGCCGTATTATCCTAAAAACTGACTATGCTAAAGACTAGGACCCCACCAAAAGCAAGGACCCATCTAACCATTTGTTTCTTTTAATCTTTAATCTCTCAAATTTTAAATTGAAATTAATTTTTAGGAATCCTTTAAGTTACGAGAGATTCAAAGAGTATGTTAAAGATACATTATGGGAGATTAGATAGAGAGCTGGCAGTTCTCACTTTAATTGTAAAAAACTAGATAATGTAAAGGGAATTTGCTGAAAATTTCAATCAAATTGATCCACTCTGAACTGAGAATTATTTAGCAATTGAATTTTAGGCCTAGCCTTGATCATCATTACTAAAGTCGGTACGATAAAAAACATACAAGTTGTCTCGATTATCGATTTTTTTATTTAATCATCGATGAGCGTTGAGCAGCAGATCAGATTCTAATTCAGTATATATCGCAGGCTAGCAATGACATTGAGAATTGATTATGGTCTGGAAAAGTTAATTAATGTCTAATTAATAATTTAGATAACATTTCAGGCCTAAAGAAAGACCTGCAATAGGAAGATTTAACTCTTGCATAATGTATGTTTAAACTATATAAAAAGGAAATTACATGGTTTAATTTATGTGAAATTTTAACACACAGTTGTTAAGTTGGGGGATTTCATTTGAGTTTGGGCAACGAAAAATATCAACCGAGTGCTATATAGGAGATATATATTGAAACAATTGATCGCCAGTCTCAATGAAATGAAATGAAATGGGGTTTAACGTCCTACTCTTCTGCACCTAACCTGGGCTAATTGAAGACGGGCATACGCCATACAGTGTGCTATGAGGGAAATTTTGCCCGGGCAGCTGTGCTACGGCCTACTCTTATATCGAATTCCAACTGCCAAGGGATCTTTTACGTGCACGCCAATGTGTACACGGGACCTCGGTTTTTCGTCCCATCCGAACGACTAGGCAACTGTCCTTGTCAGGCCCTCTGTTCTGCATCACTGACAAGGGGAAACCACGCCGAAAAATCGAGATGAACTTTCTCGGCCAATGCAGGGATCGAACACCCGACCTCCAGGCTAGCGAGCCAGCGCCTTACCCACTTAGCCACGTGATCCCCCCAGTCTCAATGAATATACAGTATCACTGATAGCACAGATACTAGTAATGATACAAATAAAGTTGTATATAAAAGTAATATTCTAATCAAAATGAAGCTTATCACATTATATGACCCCATGCTTGTGAATATTCCCTATGATATCACATCAACTTGGAAAGTAAAGTGTTTTTTACAAGATATTTGTTAAACTCATTGAGGATAGGTTGACAGATCTGTAAAATAAAATTGGCAAAAAATCTAATTTAAGCATCACTGATGTAACTGTAGCAAAGTCATGTCAAATTGAACATTATTTTTTAACTGTTGTGATGGCTATTAATAAATCTCCTTAAAACCAACTGGAAACGGCAATGTAGATAGCCCATCCATACTACAGTGTAACATGGTCATTTAACAATATCATTCTGTCGGTATTTTTCAGGGTGAAAGTTTAAGAAAATGAGTTCTGAAGGCAAGAAACATGGGAAAAAGCGTCCAAAGTCATATTATAAGAAGTGTGCGAATGTTAAACGTAAAAGATTAAATATTTTAGAGGGTGGATTAAAGGGATTTATCATTACTTGTTGTGACAGAGAGAAGGAAGCTACAAGAGAAGCATATAGCATTCTCAATGACTATGCTGATAAGTTATATGGACCAGAAAATTTCAAAACTGATGCTCCAAATAATGGCGGTGAAGAAAAGGAGGACGAGGATGAGGATATTGAAAAGGCCATGACAAAAGAAGTTGGTGCAATTAAAGAAACGAAATCAACAGAAAGACGATTTCAAAGGCTTGAAAGCAAGACAAAGAATTGTATTTTTATCAAGACTACTCTAGAAAGCCCTACAGAACTCGCTGAGAAATTATTTCAAAATCTATATGATACTAAAACTCAGAGGTCAAGGTATGTGATGAGACTTTTTCCCGTTGAAGGAACATGTAAAGCAGTTCTAGATGAAATAAAAAAACTGGGAGGAAATTTATTTCAAAAGTACTTTTCAACACCATATGGTGAAGGCATGTCATTCTCTATAATATTTAAGGCCAGAAATAATAATAATATTGGACGTGATAGTATCATACCAGAGTTAAGTCATCTTGTAACCGAATTAAATCCAGCACATACAGTTGAATATGATAATCCAGATTGCTTAATATTTGTTCAAGTTTTGTGTACAATTTGTTGCATTAGTATTTTAAAAAATTTCACAAAATTTAAGAAGTACAATCTCCAAGAGATTGCTAAAAATGAACAAAATTGCCCATCAAATGAAATGCAAGCCTCAGATTTAAAGGCAGAGACAGAAAATCTGTCCAAGGACCAAATGCAGACTGATAGTGTGGATGTACCTGACAATATCATTACTACTACAAATGATAATCAAACTACAAACGATAATGAAATTACAAATGATAATGAAACTACAAATGATAAATTAAAGTGCAGTGACACATCTGAAAAGCAGACGAATATTACTGAAAATAAAGAAGAAGTAAAAGAAACATCAATGGAAAAAAGTGACGTTAATGCAATAGAATGAAATATTTACCTAATTCTAATCTATGTTGCCCCTCATACATTGACATGTAGGCCTACATTGCATTGTTTAATCAATTGTACAAAGCATATGTTTTTAATTCAAATAATTTGTTCTTTTTCTATTTAAAGATGGGTTCCCAGAAAAGTATTTATCGGATGGTTATTTCCAATAAAAGTATGGCAATTTTGGTATATATGGAAAGTAGAGATATCCAATCTTACTAGAAAAATACTGGATTCCCCGAAAAACACTCATGGAGTGTATACAGGACAAAAATGTAAGGATTCCCCTAATCAACAGCCCGACGATTAAGAATTTCTGCACGCATGATGTCAAAGGTCACACGCGAACATTGATGTACAAGTTGATAAACGCTATGAAGAGTTAGACGTACAACACTTTCAGAGATAAAAAAGACGCGACGCGGGTAGTGAATAATCCGAGAATTTAATTAGGATTCGATATTTGTAATAAATAGTAAGCGATTAAAGACAACATCGTCTTATGTATGCAATGAATTCTCCTCTGACATCCAAGACGTGACGTAAACATGACCTGGTTTGATCGAATTTTAATAGCAGGGCATTCCTTCGCAATTACAATGTTTGAGAAGGATTTGAAGCATAATTATGACAAATTAATTAGTTTCAATATGTTTTTAGTCCATATATACCATTAAATCACCCAGTTTGTACGCGGGAACCCATCTTTAACATGTCTGCAATGAATATGAGAGTATGGGGCACAGGAAGAGGGAAATAAATTATAACAAACTGCATGGTAAACAAAATGGGGGAGGTAGGGACTGTTTTTAAGAATACATGTATAATATTATAATCCAGGCAATTTATGGATGAATCTTTGGCTATGTTACTAGTTAGGTTTCTCATGTATACATGTAATGTCATGAGATTGGTTGAAGGGCTAACATGTGCACATTAGATCATAAAGTCTGTCATTGAAAATAGTAGTTTTACAAGATAAAGTTCTTATTATTACCTGAACATATGTTACCTTTAACTGAAAATGCCCTCTTTGATCAGCTAAATAGGCTAATTTTGCCACTGGATATAAAGGAGCTAAATCGTTAATATTCGGGACTAAGAGATTGACATAAATGGGTCGCAACGCATACAATAATGTAATGTGAATGTATATAAACTGATTTACATTCAACCGTTTCTGTTTTTACTGTAATTTCTAATCAGTTATGTTCGGCGAAATACGCCAGAAGTCTCAATTGAATGGCAATCTTTAGCATCTGGTTATTCCGGTCTACACCGATGATATTTATTGCGCATGCTCTCCAGATAAGAATATAGCGTCACCATTTGACATGACTTGTGGAATATGTCTAGCTGCGTTCTTTGAGTCCCTTGTTCCAAATGGCGCTGAAACGCATTATGGTACACGATTCGTGTACCAGTGGTAAAATGTTTAATTTGTCTTGAATATTGGATATCAGAAGCCCATCTTTTCCCTGTAAGATCACAAGACCAAAGTGCACCGTAAACATGAAGGACTGACACTTCCCTTGAAAACATGTTTAAGCCCTCATCCAAAATGTTATATAAATATATATAAAATCTTGGTATTTGCATTGTGTCTATTAACTACACTGTCCACTTTTGTGCATTTTGCTTTAAAAGTGTTCTTTTCTATCAGCACGGAGGATGTAGCGTAGAGTGGTCTATAACATGGTTTTGATCCCAAGGTTGTACATGACAAGGAGTAAGATTCGTCTGCCATGGATTTTCTCAAGGTCATCTCAATGTTTAGGAGAAATGAAATGAAATGGGGTTTAATGTCCTACTGTTCTGCTCCTAAACTGGGCTAATGAAGACGGGCATATGCCATACAGTGTACTATGAGGGAAATTTTGCCCGGGCAAAGGCCTACTCTTATATCGAATTCCAACTGCCAAGGGATCTTTTACGTGCACACCAATATGTACACGGGACCTCGGTTTTTCGTCCCATCCAAACGACTAGACAGCCACCTTGTCAGGCCCTCCGTCCTGCATCAATGACAAGGGGAAACCACGCCGTAAAATCTGGATGAACTTTCTCAGCCAATGCAGGGCTCGAACACCCGACCTCCAGGCTAGCGAGTCAGCATCTTACCCACTTAGCCACATGATCCCCCTCAATATTTAGGAGAGCGATTTAGCTAATTTGCAGAGGTCTTTAATGATTCCTGTGAAGGAAAGTTGAGGTGCGTCAAGAGGAGCAGGAGCGTAAGCACACCTTAAATGTTGTACATGACAAGTAGTAAGGTTTGTCTGCCATGAGTTTTCTTCATGTCATCCGAGCAAGTGAATTATAGATTTAAAACTGCACCTTGGATTAGTCCAGAAATGACATAGTTTGTATTGTGCTGATTTTTATCTTCATTTCTGTAATTAACATTTTGGGTTTTTTTGGACACACACTACATCATTTTACATAAAGCACCATGGAAAAGAGCATATTAATAAAACTCTACACAAAATTTTTTCTTTATTATACAAAAGCTACATATATCAAAAATCCACAAAAAGAGCTTAAAATTTCAAATAAATATATTTGAAAAACACCATATTCTTATATAAAGACTTGTGTAATAAATTGTCATAAAAGTTTAAAATATTTAGGTTTTGTAAATATATAGAATTAGTTAAATAAATCATATATTTATGATATGAATACATTTGCTTTTATCATGCATGGTATGAACACATGTGCATTATTTTGATTCTATAAAACATGGATGGTACAAAACAAAGGTGTTTATTTCAAGCATGGAATATGAACACGTTTGTTTTTATCTCAAGCATGCAGGGGCTGATCCAGAGAATGGTGACCCCCGACTCCCTCCCCTGCTCAGCAACAAAAAGAATTGTAAAACAGCACTTTTATAAGAAAAGTGTCACAGTCGTGTGCTTTATCTTTTATCACCAGATGGTGGGATGGGATGGTAATTCAAAGCGGGAGATAATGATATAGACATATGTGATATCACAATTAATGCTTTGCATCAATGAAATTGAATCACAATACGAGCCTTTTAATTCAAAATTAAAATTGATGTCAAATGGGGTGTTGGATTTCTCTCTTTAAACATCTCAGTGTGTAGGCCTATGTATGCCTACGTAATTTGGGGACCACGATGCCATACATTATCAGCTGTCAAATTTCCTTAATAGGAAATCCCCTCCTGCAAAAATTCCTGGATCGGCCCCTGGCATTGTATGAAATGAAACAATTGTTTTTATCAAGCTTAGTACAAACACATTTGTTTTTATCAAGCTTAGTACAAACACATTTGTTTTTATCAAACTTAGTACAAACACATTTGTTTTTATCAAGCATGGTGTACAAACACATTTGTTTTAAACAAACATGGTATGAAAATATTTGTTTTTAACAAGCCTGGTATGAACACCAATAGACAGATACTGCAAAATAAGAAACCAATGCACATCTCTTCAGTGACAAAACAAAATAAAGAACACAGTTCAGTAGTTAGTCCATAAATCTGTTATATGGTTAAACTTTATACCTACTCAAAACAATAAAATAAACAACAGTGATTTATTAGTAGTAAGCTAATCAATGTTGATGGTCACACAACAATGATGCCACACGGCCATCATTTTTATAAAACTGCAGGTCAATTTGAATTATTATGTAGACCAGGAAATAGTAACTTTAGTTGTAGACAAAATATCAATCAGATAGACCTGCAATAAAAATATAAAATAAAAACCTTGAAATGGGCAAAAAAATAACAGGCACTGCAGGACATTGACAGATGGCTACTTTCCATGCTTGATTTTATGATACAATGATTTCTTGGTTGACAGTAATCCTATTATAAACTTATAGGGTCATCAAGGTTACACCATATTATAGAGATGTTAGCAATTTTATGTTGAAACAAAAATTCGACCTAGATGGGTACCAGAAAGATATGATCCCTGTCATGTCTAATTCCTGAACTAGCACTATGTAAATTATAAGGTACAATAGTGGCCCCTGTTAAAGACCGGGTAATGGATTCCTCTTCTTGATACAAACACATAAGATCTGATTGTGTCTTAAGATAGTGGGTTCAATTTGAATGAAAAAATATCTATGGTTAGTAGTGGAATCTATAAGTATCTTGTTGGTTTATTGTATATTCACATTAAATGGTGGCGTATATAATATGTAGATACAGGACAAATATAACACTCAATACATTACTAGAGCAATTTATGCAATTCATAAAGTCATTGAATAAAATATATGAAGCAACTGAAATAATCAATTCTCATCTGTTATATAATAGGGTAACACCTGAATTGAAGAACTTAAAAGATATGTTAGCGATCGTTTAACCCAAGTCTGGTGAACAAGCAACCAACTAATCCAATCCAGATACTGAATGAAACTGTAATTACTATGTTGAATATGGTAGGATTACATGATATGTTATCAAATTTGACAAAAGATCAATAAAGGTGTGCTAATTAATGCCATTGACTATCATTAACAAAACAATAACAGATATAAAACCATATTGTTATATTAAATTTCTCTCGTGATTCACCTAGTGGGCATGTACCAGTTAAAATGTACCTGTAATTAACTATACATCTTATTAAACAAACCTACATAAACAAGCCAACAGTGAGGCTGATGTCCCCCGCCGAAATCCCCAAATAAATAGATGACACATATTAATTAATCGCACATTTATTTTTTTCAAAGTATTGAGCAATCAAACTGATTATCAACTATACACTAAGTTTCATCACTCTCCATCAGATAGAATCAACGTTATCTTGTCCCAGAGCATCAGCCAATGAAATTGCTTAGCTTTAGCGGGAAATGTTAATCATTGAACTCAATCAAAACATTCACCTAATGAACATCTACATCAAGTTTAAACATTCTACCTCAATTAAAAGCAGAGTTATTGTGTTCCAAAAAATCGACCAATCCAATTGGTTATAGCTCTGCTTACCCTCAGCAGAAAATGTTTATTATTGAACTTAGTCAAGGTATTGATGTGATAAAACTTATAAACCATTTCAAAATCAAATTTTTAAACATAACAGAATTCTTATCTATCAGTATGTATACAAAAAATACACATAACAATTATTACTTGAAACCAGGAAAACAAATATGGTGGATATTAGCCGAGTTTTGTAAAATAATAATTATTATATTTCATTTTTAAAAACAATCTAACAGAAATACAATCTGAACCATGATGAACATTTTATAGATTACATACATCTATGTACAAACAAAGATGACAAAAAATACACAGATTGTCCTTTCTTGTTAAAAAAAAAATATGTCATTTAAAATATCAAATATACAGCGGCCATACTAAAGCTTTAATTTATTGAAATCTATTTGTAACTTAAAACTTGAATGGAAGCTAACCATAATAACAAATCGTGACTAAGTCTTAGCCAACCATAATAACAAATTGTGACTAGGTCTAAGCCAACCATAATAACAAATCGAACTAAGTCTGGTTATGATTTTAAGTTAACAATCAATTTTAAGAGATTTAAGCTTTCAAAAAAAAAAGACCCAGACCTATTCAGATTCTATAATTAAATATCTAAATCAGGGTTGACATCCTTTAAAATAATTTCTTAAAAGCAAAACTTTATAAAAGATAGGTTGCCAGGTAACATAAAGCCTGCAGAAGCTAATTAGGAGTCTGGAGCAGTTCATTGGGTTGTTGTATTGTGATTCTTTTATAGGCAGTAAAAAATCTGTAAATAGGCGAACAGCCTTCCCAGATTTCTCATAGCTACTAGTTTTGTTCTTATTCGAACTCTTCAGGCTTAAATGAGGATGTGCGGTGGCCCTCTATATATAGTGTCGGTGGGCACCGGAGCACATGTGATGTCACAGATGGACCGGTGTCGATCTTTGGCACCGGAGTCGATTATTCCGAAAAGTGTGCAAAGATATTCGGCTAAGAATTTGCCGTCATGATTATGCTTATTTGCATTGACTCCAGGCCCCTAACTCTTTTGATCTCTAAGTTTAAAGGCAACCAAAGCATTTACAGGACACTATAAATTGATTATGGGCAAAAAAATCCATTAAAATTAATTATTGGTGTAATCAGATGGTAATTGTCATGGCTGGAGCATCTCATAAGATTTTTCACAGTAATCATTGATCAAGAGTAATACATCTTAAAATAATTACTGGACAGAAGTGATGACAATTCCCAGAGAAAATGTGGGCAGATAACATAAGGAATACATAATGAAAACATAATGTGAATAATAGCAATTTATATTGTATTAAATCTGCATATGATGCATTCTGTGAGACATCTCAATCACACCAGCTCCATTTTTAAACACATCAAAGTGATTTGTTTGCAACTCTTGATTTCAAGAAGCTTATTGATTATTTCACATTCTTCAAAACTTATTTTTAGCTATTTTTTTACGTAGATAATACCAGATGTAAGCAGGATGTAGATAGGTACATAAAATCATCACACAAATCAGTACATTTACCTATAAATAAAATTTATATAATATACAAACTAGGTAATAAATTTGATATATACTATTCAAAAAAAGTAGGGGATATTTGATTTTTAAGTGTTATTAAAGTCACCTTATGAAACTGACGAAGAAACAAATGACAAAATGAAATGAAGTTCACATTCATCGATTTATTCCAAATGATCGTTAGACTAAGTAAGGCACAGACTGACCATTTTAAGGGTAAAATGATACCCAGGGTCAAACAGCAAAGTTACCACAGCATCACAACCAAGTCAGTAACGGGTAAATCCTCCTCTGTTTGCCAAACAAGCATTGATCCGACGTGGCATACTCCGAATGGGACGTCTAAGGTCATTTTGGTCCAGATTGTCCCATTCCTGTTGCAACGCAGCAGCAAGTTCTTGGACATTGGCAGGACGTTGTTGACGTTGACGTTGACGTAACCTCTGTCCAAGCATGTCCCAGACATGCTCGATGGGGGAGAGGTCGGGACTCAGTGCTGGCCAAGGTAATGTGGTGATGTTCTGTTGTTGGAGGTAACCTGTAACGATCCTGGCCCTGTGACATCTTGCGTTGTCATCCTGGAAGATGAAACGGCGGCCATGACGTCGTGCGAACGGCACAACATGGACTGCCAAGATGTTGTCCCGGTAGTACTGGCCTGTAACACGCCCTGCAACAACATGTAAAGCCGTTCTTCCAGCAACAGTGATGCCTCCCCAAACCATAACAGAACCACCCCCAAATCAATCATGTCTGATGACGTTAACGTCTTGGAAGCGCTCGTTTCGACGACGCCACACCCTCCTACGTCTGTCCAAAAAATCAACAGTGAACCTTGACTCATCTGAAAACATCACATTGCTCCAGCGTCGATTATCCCAGTGTTGACGATCCCTACACCAACGACATCTTGCCTGAATGTGATGATCTCTCAAACAAGGGATCACGCGAGGACGTCGGGCGCGAAGGTGACCCCTATGCAGTCGATTCCGAATCGTCTGGCCACTCACTCTCACACCAGTGTCTGTTTGAAGACGAGCGCTGATCTGATTTGCTGTGATGACACGATTTCTCAAGGCCAAGGTACGGATAAATCGATCCTGGGCTTGAGTTGTCGCCCTTGGTCGACCTGAGCGTGGTCTGTCCTGTACAGATTGTGTATCACGGTATCTGGACCATAGCCTGCTTATGACAGACTGAGAAACATTCATCGTCCGCGCCACAACCGCCTGTGTTGTGCCGATCTGTAGCATGCCAAGGGCACGTAACCTTTCATTTTGGGTAAGCCGACGCATATCAAAATTTGTTTTCTGGTCACTAAAACAATTAAACTGATGTTTCCACCCTGGAATTCAATGCCACAATGACTGTAACATTCAAAGTCAGAGTCGTGCAAATCTTGGGTTGGACCCCCATGATGATCCCAAGCATCACCTGCATTCCATGCGGTAGCTATTGGTGCGTTTGGGCGTCACATGTAACTGGAAATGTTTCTTCTGTTAGGTTCTATAGTGACTTTTTTCGTAGTCATTTGCATATTTTAGTATTATGCCCCCAAAATCAAATATCCCCTACTTTTTTTGAATAGTATATATATATATATATATACATGTATATATTAGGCAGTAAAATTAAGAATATATACTAATTACTAGAGTAAAATTTAAAACATATATACTAACTGGGCAGTAAAATTAAGAATAACAACCGACGTAAAAAGATAGCCCTACTCAGTGAGCCATCATCCATGTATACATTAAAAAAATATTGTAAATTTTCACATTTCACATTCTGAACTTCAATAGGGTTCTCCATTATTACCCAATAAAGAATTTCATCAATTTGAAAAAGAATTCATCAATATATAGTTCAAAAGAAAAGTGGAGAGAAAAAATAAATATACTCACCACAAGAGGGTCATTATCGAATGGACCTTGTATTAATAAAAACAATGGATACTGCAGCATTCCAAAAATCGCAGACACAGTCAAGCTTATTCCCATTAATTTACCAAAGTGTTCTGTTGGAAATCTGTAATATTCAAAAGAGGTGTGTAATACTATGGATTCTAAACAAACATTTCTGCCTACTTGTGATTATACTTGGTATCCCTAGTGGTCTCATCCCGTTATACTCCACTATACCCTGGATTCATCCATTAAGTATTCACGCATTTAAATTATCTGCCCTTGATCGTAGCTTGATTCAACGAATCAATCAAAAAACAGTTTACAAACCAGTCTTAGCTTCACTGTTTACATTCACAACAATATGGCGGCTAATTGTTTGCTTGATTTTGCGAAAATTTGCAAGACATTTAATATAAAAGTGACATACACACAAAAAGATGTCCCAAAACATCTTTTTGATGGGAAAGATGTTTTTATGTCAGTCAAAACAGGCAGTGGCAAGTCGTTATATTACCAAGCGTATCCTTGGTCGATAAAAATAGCACAATGATCAAGGGCAGATAATTTGAATACATGTCTGCCTTATGGATGAACCCAGGGGTTAGTGGAGTGGAACGGAATGAGACCACTGGGGATACCAAGGATGACTTGTGATTGAGTACCTCAGCTTTGTTTGGCCATTCAAACAACTAGACTGACAAGGACAAAAACATGTTGGAAAATTCACAGAAACTTTCTCGGCCAATACAGGGATATCTTGGTTAGTAAGTCAGTGCAATACTCACTTAACAAAACGTCTGGAGAAGAGCGATTATTTAAGAGCTTATAAAAGACTGTTTTGCTGTAGTCACATAATTGATATGTGTATATTTTGAATGTTGTAATCATATATGGTAACTAAAAGGGATTAAATTGTGTGCTGCAATTGCAGTAGAACACTGATTTAAGAGAGTTTTTGTTGTGTTTTACTGTGGTTGATAGTAAAGTCTTTCTTGAGGATAGTTTTATCATTGTAGTGAATGGGGTTTGCATTGGACCATTTCCACAAAGTACGCCGTGACACGATTGCATGAAGACAGCAGAAATTTAATAAGACACAATAAGAAACGATTCTATTTCCGGGACTGTAGGATTTAGCTCATCACAGTTATCCATTATGGTTTGTTCCAAAACACAATGTAAACTAAAATAAATAAAAAAACTGTTTTGACAATTATTTATTTGTTGAAATCTTTCTGGGAAAAATCAAACCATCAAAATGGAAATTGTTAATCACGAGCAACATTTAGGGCCTTGGTTTTCTCATGCAAGTTGCTATGTTCAGCATGATTAGTTATCTGTGCCACTGTGGTACATAGAGGATAGAGTTTGAAAATGAAAAATTCTCAAGTGATCTATTTAGCCAGACTGTTATTTACTTCTATTATTTGTCTTGTCCTATTAACAAATAAAAACTTACGCATTTGCTATAAAAGCATTATTTGGTCCATATAGAAAAGATCGATGAAATGTATGTAGAAGACAGGTTACATATTGAACTTGTAAAACAGGTATTGTCATGCCAATAGATAACAACATGGCAACTGTACAGTTCATCAGAAACGAGGCAATTGAGGCATGGATTCGTTCTGAAAAATAACAGAAAAGCCAAACGATTAAATAGAAATATAATTACTCTACATGGGAGTCAAATAAGCAAGTTTTGGTCTGATAATGCAGCCGTATAAATCATCAAAAAGGTATTAACTTGCATTTAAAATCAGTTCGGACAATGGTCAGCTTTTTGTTTATTTGACATGACTGACACATGTATAGGCTTTACTGTCAAACATGTATTTTCAAAATTGATCTTTAAATATCATTATTTTGTATTTATATAATATGAGACTATTAGTTTTTGTGAAAATTAAAAAAATATATACAATCACCATATTTTCTAATGTTGTTATAATTTTGTTTGATCTTTCTATCCATGATACAACCACTAAATGCTGCTGTAAAAATGCCAATGAACTGTGTTGATGACAGAAATGATGTATAATGACTCACTGAAAATATACAAGTCAAGACAGACAATTCTAAAATTAATTTTATTACTGAATTGGACTTCGACATACCTACATGTAGGTAGGATAGTTTACGATGATTGCAACTTACACCTAGATTGTCGTATGGTAATTAAAACTGTGCTGATGGCATTGATGTTGGAATTAAAGCTGATAATTGCTCAGAAGAAGAACTGTTTGACAGAATCAACTACTGGTAATCAGACTGTATTAGGCTCATTAATACAGACAGACAATAATATGTGTAAAATGATCAATCAATCAATGTTTTCAGTGAGCTAAAAAAAATCTATGTGCAGATGGCATTAATGTTAGGGTAGATATTGTTTACACAAGTTGATACCTGTTCATTAGAAATAAGGTTACTGCCATAGAAATATATAAATTTCTACGGTTACTGCATTAAAAAATATGAAAAAACAAATTGCCGCAGGCTAATTAAAGAAGCATGGATTGTGCTGACCTTGGAATTTAATATTTTCTCGAGATATTGATATGTAAATTTGAAGTTTTATCAATCCATTCACTATGTTTCGAAAATCCACCAATCAGATAAGAGTAGACCCACCAAAATACGGATGTAAGTTTAACTGTGTTTCAAAGAACTCAGTAATCTGAGTGTAGTCAGCTGATTTATCATGGCTTGATATACAAACTTATATCAATCAACCATTCCTATTAATCTTCAAAGATGGTGACAGAAATGGCCTACTCTTTGGTTTTAATTTTCTTGATATTAAGCCAAACACAGACGATGGAACATTTTAGTCGAACATCCATTAAAATATCGTTACGATCAATTCGTCTGCATCGAAGTCAAACATTTTCTTCAACACAGCACCAATCAGCGATCACATGAATTTATGTGGCGTTAGCAATGACGTATATGTTAATATATATACGTCATTGGGCTGTAGTATTTTGTTTGAGCTAAAACATTCATTCGTCAGTGGGACCATGTTCATTTTACGTGGCGCAAGACTTATTGTTTGACCTAATACATTCGCTCGTCTGTGGGACCATGTTCGTCGCCTGTGGACAAGAAGAACAAAAATATTTGTTTGGTGCTTTTGTTTGTTGACATAAATGTTTCATCGTTTGCTCTAGGCTTAAATAAAATAGTATCCAACATGTACAGTTTTTTTTTCTTCTCAAATTTGAAATCACTCTTGCCTCAACTACAACAGCATTTTAACATTTTTTTGGGACTGTGTTAAAGTACTATTTCAAAAATAACCCGAGGTTGCTAGGAAGTTATGGTCTGAAATGCACGAATATCAAAATGAACTGAGATATTTGGGATAAAAAGATATATATTAAGTTTAATCAAAACCGGATAAAAATTGTGACTTTTAGAGGGTCCTCAACCTTGGTATTACATACTTTTAAACTATTTGCATATAAAGAGTGGCAGTTTGGGTTAGATTTTTACGAAATTCGAACTCAACCTTCATTGATGTGCAACGGTGATATATTTAAACGTTTTTTGAAATTGAATAAAAATTGTGACTTTTAGTGGGTTCACAAGCTTAAAATGCGATTTTTCGAAAAGTCAGGGGTCATAATCCAGGAAGTTAAGTTGATATGCATGATTATCAACAGGAACCAAGACCTTTGTGATATAAACACAAATTTAAAGTTTCATCAAAATCGGATTAAAATTGTGGCCTCTAGAGGGTCCACAACCTTGATATACCATATATTTACCCTTTTTGAGTACAAGGGGTGGCCATTTTGTCCAGTATTTTTGGTCCGATTTTCACAAAATTCGAACTCAACCATCAACAGGGTGTTACGGTGAAATATTAAAACGTTTTTTTAAATCGGATAAAAAATGTGACCTCTAAAGGGACCACAAGCTAAAATTGCGATTTTTCGTACAATCAAGTGTCATAATATCGAAAGGAACCAACATGTATTTTAAGTTTCATCAAAATCGTATCAAAATTGTGAACTCTAGAGGGTCCACAACCTTGATATACGATATTTTTACACTATTTGTGTACAAGGGGCAGCCATTTTGTCCGGCAGTTTTGGTCCAATTTTCACGAAATTCGACATTCCGGTGTAATGGTGATATAGTCGAACTTTTTTTTAAATCAGATAATAACTGTGAACTCTTGAGGGACCAAAAGCTAAAAAAAGCGATTTTTCATGCAATCAGGAGTCATAATTCAGGAAGTTACAATATGATATGTGCAAATATTGAAAGGAACCAAAATCTCTGGGTTATAAACATGCATTTCAAGTTTCATCAAAATCAGATGAACATTGTGATCTCTAGAGTGTCCACAAGCTAAAAACGTGATTTTTTATACAATCAGGGGCCATAAACCATAAAGTTTCAATCCGATACAGGCCAACATCGAAGGGAACCAAGATCTTTTAGAGATAAAGCTATATTTCAAGTTTTGTCAAAATTGGATAAAAATTGTGACGGACAACACTATACGTCGACCTGAAAATGTGGGCTTATAAAAACATGATACTGTACTAAGCATATGTGCATTAAAGTGGTGGGAACTACTATCGGTATTTATTTGTCTAAATATCTTGTTGACATCATAAAATGTCTGACTGAAAAATTCTCAAAAGATTCTATTACTCTTACAAAAAGTACATGCAATGATGGTATATAACTTGTTAAATTAGAGTTAACTCCAATGCACTGTACAGTGTTGAAAACATGAATTGTTCACAGATAATTTGGAAGATTAAAGGGAGATAATCAGGTTTACAGAACCTGGCTGCTCATTATCCATTTACAAAAGTCTTACCAACAGATTTATCGCCACAGGCTAATCTTGTCATCCACGGATTAAATACACCAATAAACATCCAATTACGTAATCTTTGAAAACACATCCACATAAGATCCCACAAAAACAGGGGAGACAATAACATCTTACTGAACTTTGGCACCATGACATAATCAGGATTTCTTTTCTCGTCTTCTTTTGGTTTGCAATCGCTCTCATTGATATTTTCCTCGACTAAATTACATTTTTCTCCATTTAATTCTATTAATTCTTTTCCATCGAATTTAACTATATCACTCTCAATTACAATTTGCTGCGATAAAGTTTCTTCGTGTACCATGACGCTTCCAAATTCATCCATGGTCAATTCTTTGTTCAAGGGTCTAGAAATACCTTCATTTTCCAATGTTACTGACTTTTCTCGTACAAGAAGTCTATAAATGAATGGTTTGTATTTGTATTTAGTTGGGTGTGGCCATGGTAGTCTATATCTAGGTAGTAGACAAAAGGTACCAAACGTGACCACGAGACAGTATACAACTAACATACAAATAAAACATGTATTCGGACTTATTCCACTGTTCTCATACGCCAACTGAAATCAAATAATACAAATTAAGTGATTAGAAATAAGGGAAAATAATCAACAGTCCAATGAACACCGGCATATATATTTTGTGTGATATGATGAACAATGGTATACCTCAACTTTTTATTCCATCCGAGTGACTAGACACAATGGTATACCTCAACTTTTTATTCCATCCGAATGACTAGACACTTTCTTTACCAGGCCCTTTGTCCTGCACCACTAACATGGGTAACCTAGGCTGAAAGATCCTGAGGAACAACCAGATTAAACCCGGGACACAGCCGGTTAGTGAGACAGAGCCATACTTTACGTGCCACCATGGCTCACAGTTATAAGACAGGTGGAACTAGGTCTTCAGAAATTCGGAGGCAAGAATTAGGTATGGCAATAACTGCCCAACTGATGTTTGAAAATAAATTCTGCATAATTATGCGGGGAATCAGTAAGAAGTTTATTTATACTCAAGACAACACAGGAAGGAATAATCTAGTTTAATCTGAAGATTTAAAATTTTAATGTTATATTCACCATATCAAATGACAATGATATGAACCATTTGATTAAAATACAGACTTATATTTCATTTCATTTTTTTTATTATATACTTTCGATGGCTCCACTACATGAAGATCAGACCAGTTGTAGTGGGAGATTGCTTCAGGGATCATACAAGCGGTTTTTGATCCTATGGCGTCTGACATTTGATTAACTAATCAGAATTGATATTTGAAGTGGGTATTTGGAAATACCGCTTTTGCTTTGTCTTCACAGTGACTGCACGCCGAGAACTCGTCACAACAGACCATTTCATTGGCTAATCCCTTACATCAACAAGAACGCAGGTTACATAACAACTCGTCCAGATCCTAGTGTGTTTTAGTCAAATTATGATATGATCAAAGTAAACATATTTTAAATCTATTGTTGAAACTTACCTTGAAGAAAAGTAAAATGGTAGAACTAACATCATATGAGCCACAGAAAATAGCTATTAACATAGAACGATATCCAGGTATTAGATTTGCTACCTGTATATTGGTAAATAGAACCATATAACCACCAAATGTTATTAATATAAAACCTGGGTATAACAGTACTCCACTTTCTACAATACAAATATCTTATGATTAGTAACGACTTCCAATTGACTTGGTGGCTTAATGTCCTACCTTTCTGCTTCATCTGGGCTAATGAAGGCAGGGATAAGCCCATGCAGTTTGCTATGAGAAGAATTTTACCCAGACAGCGGCGATACAGATTACTCCTTTTTTTTTAATTCTTTTAGGTGCACGTGCTTGTATACACTGGGCCTCATTTTTTGCCCCAACTAAGCACTGTTTCTTGCCAAGCCCTACATCCTGAACTACTGACAAGGAGGAAACCATGCCACAAAATCCAGAAGAACCTTCTAAGTCTTAACTGGAATTGAACCTGGGATCAAATCCTAGACCTCCAGATTAGAGAGCTAGCGCCCTACCCACTGAGCCACCATAATCTGAATTTTCAGATACCATTTTTAAACTGGCTTAATTTGGATCAGAGCGTATTTGACAAAAAATTCCAATTTTTCCAATATTTACAATATCATAAAACACATAATAATTTAGACCATAAATAAAAAGAAACACTATGACTTATAAAGATATTCCTACCTGGTGTGACCACAATTAAACATAATAAACCTGGTATAAAACATAACCTGTAATAAAAAATGTTTATAATTTATATAGACTCGACTGTTTCATATTTCAATAGTTATAGACTGATTAGCTTTTTATTTCTTGAGGAGTTGGGTGCCCGAAGGGTTAATGCATGCACGTTGCATGATAAGGTCTGTCATTGAGTCAAGTGGTGTGGTTTTGATTCCCTGCTTGTACATGGGTTTTTTCCCAGTTCTCTGGGTCCTCTGTTTTCCTCCCATTCCTAAAGACCACTACACGGCAAGTAAATTATTGAACAATATGTTAGTCAAACCAGGCTAATGAAGATGATTCCTTATTGTTAGCTCTGCAAAACAATTTAAAGGTCCACTCCACATCCAGCTTCACTTGGTGTGGAAGAACCACCAACATTTCAACAAAAAGAAATGTGTTTGAAATATGTCATTCATTAGTTTAAACAAACGAATAATAAATATGATTTAAATTTAGCCGATATTGATTACCACATAAAAAGTTGTAGAGTATCTTTATCCTACCCTCTCACTTTGAGCCAAAGAGCTTGCTTTATGTTGAGTTGGACAGACAGTAGAGAATTTGACTGATCCAGTCCTAGGCTGAGAAGAAGAAAAAGTAAACTTACATGGAGAGTATCCGACAGACTCTTGTACCACATTTATCATAAAAACATCCACTAAGAAAACATAGTGCCCCAGTAATAAACGTAGATAAAGTAAATATCAGATTAAATTGTTCATCTTGTTCTCGACAATTTGATCTCAACTCAATGGCTGCCAATTTGTAGCGATCTTCACATGACAAATCGCCCTTCCTCACAGAATCATTCGTATATATTCCAACAGTGAGAACTTCGTTATTCGATGAATTAATATTACCCTTTAACAAATATTTTGTATCACTTAAATATTTTGAACTGTTTAGGAAAGTTTCATTAAACATTGACCCATTGTTTTTCTGTGATTGGTTCAGTGCTGGACACAAATGACTGAAGTAGCCTTGATCTTTGTAGATATAGACAATGTTATGCCAGCCAAAGATTATTCCAGCAAATGTCATTATTTCAAAACTTGCCCAAATTACTGCCAATAAGGAAATACAATTTACACCTTTCACTGCCATGGTCAATTTTCTTCTTGTTCAGATATTGATAAAGTACTTTATTCACATTTATAGTGCTGAATCTGTATCCATTTGTGTAACACACTCATATTCAACATCCCCTTCCACTAACAAAGATATCCCAGACAAATTTCCTGAGACAGCACTGATACTTAAAGCTACAAAGTTTAATCTCTATAATGCTCAATTTAAAACTCTGCCAACTGGTTAATTTTTTAGTGTGTTTTGTTTATCTCAAATAAGCAAGAGATTGTTTTCAAAGAATGTGACAGCGTTTAGCATTATCTCAAATTTAAGTCAATATCTAGTGTTTTTTTACAAATAAAAAACCATCAATTTAACTGTATTTATTGTGTTTGATGGTTGAATTGTCTAAAAAAAACCTAATTTTATGGCATGTTAATTGACTGACAAAAGTAAGTCCTGTTTTGAACACACTATATATATATAAATCAAGGTTCCAAGATGTTGACAAAATAACTCCTTAAGATAAGTGGATGAATCTCAGCAACTAAGTTATACAGAGTTGTGGTAATCAGACAGTTATAAATCCTAAGAAATAATACAGAAAAACAATATCTACACAAGAACACTTGACAATTTATATATAGTATATAAATTGTAATATTTCATCAGGTAGACAATCTTTATCAACTAATAGTTGTACTTCCTTGTAAAAAGGTGCAAATAATTGAATAATATTGCCGACAGTGATAATGAGGTCGGTTTTATTTATCAAATTTATTATCTGTTATTACTTTCCAGACATTGTTTACAAGATTTTTTTATATTTGAAGGAATGCATTGACGTCTATAATAATAAAAATTACTTTTCATAGACGATTTTGTCCCAAGTTTAAAATGACTTAAAGTGCATTAAATATCTATATTTAAAAAAAAAATCATATTTGCTTACAATTAAGAAACCAATCATGCTTAAAATTTTGAAAATAGATAAATCCAAAAACTCTCCCTCAATTATAAATTTGATAAAAGATGTCTATTATAGCACTCAAGTACCTTTAAACAAAAGATAAATTTAGATATAAAAAACAATGCTCTTACTTACAAAACAATATTCATTTCTTTTTTGTTATACACAAACACCTTTAGACTATATTTACAATTAAATATATAAACAATACTGTTAACTTTCAACAAATTTTGAAGTCAGATAAGAATTTTGATAGATATAGGTAATATACATCTTACATTAGATAAATGACTTGGACTGTTTACGATATGAACAGATTTAAAAAGCTATGATCCATATTAGGCTTAGATATAAATAAAAAAATATAGATACAATCAACTGATTTTTGTTATATAAACTTGGGTAATTCAATTCAATATAAGTGTATTATGCTTACTATGTATTGAACAATGGAGTGGCTATTCACACATGCTTCACTTGAGATTTTAGCATTAATTCACATGATTATTTTTGCATTTGAATATAAGAACACTATAGCCAAAAGAATATTGGGTGCCAAAGCATGTGATAGCTGAAGAAAATACCTCCACCAATCAACAAAGCTGATACATGTTTTGATGAGCTAATGCTATTGCTAACTCATCCATTATCTAGACTGACGCAAATGTAACAGAACTAAAATCTGTGTAACTTGCTTAAAAATTCTTAAAATCTCAATCGCACGCACTCAATATCTGGGGTCGGTGAATGGGCTGCTTTAGCTTCTGATACGATATTTTGGACTATCCGTTTCTCCAATCACAAGATTCAACAGAGGTGCTTAACACCTTTTCTAAACCACCAGCTTTTTTGATTCAATGTATAAGCTATCATTTGGTTGTTTACTGTAATTGAACTTATTGTTTAGTTACAAACTCAAAGTCAGATTTATGTGTTCAAGGCACAGAGTTACTGTTTAATACGGATAAAATACGGATAGTTTCTATTGGTAAATACAGTCTTGATGATTTTAACATACGATTTACCCTCACTGGCATTTGAACAGTCACTTAGATACAAGATTCTTGTAGCACTAAACTAGAAATTTTAACACAAAATCACTATTCATACATAACCTAGATACAAGATGCTAGTATAGCTCTAACCTAGATGAATTTTTAACACAAAATCACAATACCTGGGTTGCTCGAAACGTAAAACTTGAGTCTAGGTACAATATTTCCAACTGGATACTTCACCCGGATATAATGGTTATTAAATTTCTGTGTAATTGACAGCTCCTTGAAAGATTGCTATATGTATATATATCCCCTACAGTTTGGTTTAATGAGATACGGTTTTCTTATGTCCGTGATATCCTGTTACAAAATTGTTGTACCATGAAAATTTCATTCAATCATTGAATGTCGTGTAACTAGTAGTACTGCCGCAGGTCGAATATACAGTTTATCTGTACAGCCAGTAAAACTGGAAAAGAGAGTAATGTAATGATAGAGAATAGTTGAAATAACCTATGATCTTGTTTATGCATTCTTTGTATATAGAACTATAGAATATACATACAAACTATGGGTTATTATAAATACATGTGTATACAAACCAGAGATTAAAGAGATGATGTGATAGGAGATCAAATAATCTCTTCTGTCAATGATATTTTTCTATGTCAATATGTAAATATATCACCATAATGTTAAGATGGGGATGAACTGTCTGAAATAGTGTCTTCTTTTGAAGTAATAGAGGAAATTTACTGAACATCATGTTTATAAGGTGTTTTCGAGGGGATGACAATGGTGAACTGGTGTGCCCCCAAATCTTTGGGCATGGCATTCACAGAAATTCAAAGCAATCTTTACACTTCTCTATTTATTCAATCCACACCTATCAATATTAAGATGTCAAATTCAAAGAATCTTGAGAATGCTTCATCTTGAGCTTGTTTCAGTAGGATACATGTATCTTTGATTATATCAGTGTAAATTCGGGGTCTGGTGATATGCAGGCAAAAACAGAGAAATTCGGGTAGCTAAATAAATGAGTTATGTACAACTATGGGTGTAAATTCCATTTTAGACATAGGTATAGCCATTTATAGCAAAAATTTACTTCTTTTACCAATGTACGTAAGTAATAATAATTTGTTGAGATACAAGCTATAAGTACAATTAGTGGAAGAAATTATGTCTTTCTCTAAGCAAATAAAGCATTTAAGTTCACATTTTGCAAAAAGCCCATTTCTGTTTCAAGGGATAATTTCTGTGTATTCCTTTTTCTGTCAGTTTGAGTTGAAAATCACCAACTCTACGTGTAACTTTCAATGAACAAAATATTTTTCAGGAAGCGCTGTCATAGAAAACCCTGGTTATACATACATGTAGTCCATTAAATATGGGTACCATAAAATTATGTTTAAACTGAATACAGATATGTACGTCTTTTAATGTTTTTTGTCATATGAGACTGAGAGTAGTTGTGTGCATGAATTACATTTCATTATTACAATCTTCGGACATAGAATATATTGTGATGTTTTTACTTCCACTGAGCAGTCATTTCTTATCATATATTGTATTGCATTTATCTTAAAGCAAGGCAGACGGATATCACATTTTGACCCAGTATTCGACTTGGCTCTATTTCACAATTAAGAGTTATTTATGAATAAATACCGTAATGAAAATATGCCCCCGGCCATTATTATGACATGCTTGGTTATACAATTCAAAACACCGCTTATACGTTGTAATGTCGCGTATACAGTGCATACACACTGATTTTGTGTTGATGTGATAATATTCTCTTACCGTAACTAAATTGCCATTATGAGAGTAGTATACCCGCTCCGACTTATGCAGTGTAATGCAGTAGGTAGTTTTAGTGCCTACAACTGATTTGTCAAAATATTTGTTCATTCCATCTTCTAAACATGTTAACAAAGACAATTAGACGTTTCCTTGTTGATTACGGTGTCAGTCAAGCGAAAAATTATTCTTAAATGAAATGGAGTTACCTCCCATACACTATTCGGTTACTTCTCTACCCAAGTAATATTGAAGTGGCATCGGCTTAAGCAATCTGAACGCATACAGATCCTATTTCGTTTCGTTTTTTATTGCTCAAATTTCACGGAGACTGAAGTAGTGGCCCGTTTCCACCTAGGGCGATATTACAGAAGAAAGGACGAAAGAGGAATTCACAGCCCCCATCTCAATAGCAGTGTTCTGTTTGATGAAGTGTAGCCAGTAAAATGCACTGTTTAGTTGAGCTTTGCGCGAGATGTGCACGGAATTCTGGGAATTACCGATTGCGCGGTTAAAAATTTAAAAAAATTGAAATACTAATATAGTTTATGTCAGTAACAGTCAGTGGTCCCTTACCTTTTTTTTTACCATGCCCCATTTCAACATCGCAAATCATTTTGTGCCCCCTTAAATTTGATATGAAAACAAATTGAGTTTTGTAATATTGCGCCCCACGTTGGGAATCTCTGGTTTATGTCATTCTGTCAATGTTCAACTAATACTAATTCAACTAAAAATGCGATAGTAGAGTTCCAAATATATGCACCGGAATGAAATGGAATGGGGTTTAACGTCCAACATTTTTCTACCAACAGGGCCAACTGAAGACAGGCATACACAAAACAGGGAATTTTGCCCGGAGAACAGTGTTTCCGTCCACTCTTCGTCGAATGCCAACTTGCAATTGGTTCTTTTCCGAGCTATCCAATGTGTACACGGGTCCCCGTTTTTGTACCATCCAAATGGCTAGACACTGTTCCTTGTTAAATAGACTCCCAGTTTTGCACCACTGACAAGCCAAAACCTGGATTGAATCCAATATCTCCAGGGGGATCAGACCTGAATTAATTCCCGAAAAATATCCCGTTTACAGACGGTGTCTTTGTTCGTCAGCGAGAGCCGAAATCTCGGAGCTTACCGTGTAGAAGCCTCCCCAAGAAAATGTGGAAAACTTGATGTCCGAAAACGCGTTTTCCCGCTTTTCAAGACAGTGAATACAGTAACTTAGGTGGCTGAGCTGAATTCCAAACAACTAATCAACCGTTTAGTATGGGGAGCGCTATACCGGAGAAAATTTAACTGCCGCAGATGCGTTTTTCTTCAACGTTGTCCAATGGTTTTGCAACCGAAATCTCATTCCATAACGACCTGAATTCCAATCATCGAATCAAACTGTTGTAGCTGCATTCACAAATAATAAGCAATGCCCGGAAAATGCCGCACGCATTTAAATGAAATGATGATAGCTCACAGACTTGGAAAACAACATATAATTTTATTCTTAACATGTACTCCAGCGTGTAACTATGACATTAAACTTAAAAACTTATCTCCCTTTCTTCAAGAATTATTTCAAAATTGGTACTCATTAGGGGTGCTCGATTGTCAGTCCAGAACGTAACGAATTGGCGGAATTGCAATTGTGTGACGAATATTGTAACCTTTATAAAAGTACACCGTTAGCTGTCAAAAGCTTACTAAGTAATTTATCCGACTGGACGCTGATAGCACCGCCCCCCCCCCCCGCCCGCAACCACCCTCTATGAATATCGCTCCTACAGGCCTAGACTTAGATATTATATTATTTGTTATTTCCGCTCCGAACGAGACAGCTTGTAATTTACATTATAATATAGAAAGGGGTTATTAAGTAGTTTAACCGACTGGAAACAATATATAAAGACATATATTACACGGTAAGATACTCGCTGCTAATTTACGTTGGTGATCCAAAAAAACTAGGGGTTCTCTTCAGTGCCATAAAACCTATAACAGATTGGTTTAAAACAATTGTCACGAATTCATACTATGTATTTATAAAAGAGTTTTCAGTATTTTGAGAAACATGCAAAACGCGCGAAATGTGTTTAGTTGGTGAAGAGGAAGTGATAATTTTTTTTCAGATCTTATTCCTGGCTAAAAATGATGATCGACACTAACTGTTGTCACATAATATATTATATTAGATAAAAAAAAACAAAAAAAAAACAAGTATTACATGTAGTTGCTTTATGTGAGAATAAATATGTTTTAAGTAAAAAAAAAATGAATGCTTTAAATTTGTGTATCTCAAAATGTTCACAGTGAACCAAATACAACCTTTAGACAGTTTGTTCTGTATTGCAGAGCGTTCAACCCAACGAAAGTTATGGGAAAAGCTGGAGTCGGGCAAAGAGAGAAGTTCTAAATAACATTTAATACAATGAAAGAATATTTGGTGGTCTACCTCAAAATGAAAGTCTAAAAAAGAGTAATTTCCCTTTTACCATCTATCTTATAATACTTTTTTGCCACACTGATCAGAAGTAAATTTTCGCTAGGCCGCTACAATCACTGATAAGGATGACATCGATGCGACTTAATGAGCCAGAAATATTAAACATGCATTATACAAGAGCTAAATCTGCCTAGTGCAGGTCTTTCTTTAGGCCTGAAATGTTTTCTAAAGTATTAATTAGACATTAATTAAACTGATCCAGGCCTTAATCAACTCTCGATGGCATCAGATTTCTCCGATATTAAATAGATTAGAATGGTTCAGCGATACTTTGATTTAATCAAATATGGAGGACTGAGACTTAGCCTCGATCAACCAGTACGGTGGTTTAAATTATTGCACACGTCTGTCAAACCTTCAAAGGCTAATATCTTCGCTTGCAATAGAGTAATTTGAATGAAATTTTCAAATTATTCATTTTACATCATCTACTTTCGAACTATTATAGCAAGAATAGATAGTTCTTTATCTAAATCTTACATAATGTATCTTTAACTTTTTTCCTGCGACAAATTAAATTCTAAAACATTTTTTTTTATGTATTGGAAAAATAAATAAAGGCGTTTGACGTATTTGTAGTTAAAAATTATTTCCTATTTAGTGTAAATGGTTATTAAAATGACTAAAAGGCAGCATTCCGCCCGAAGCAGTAACGTCTTATGTAAACAATGCACGCGCCATTCAGCCCATGATTGACCCCGCGTGCTGTGACGGCACGTGTTAAGGCAGTCACAAGCCCTACATGGATGAATTCCTCTTACTCGGATGAAGGCTAATTATCATTGTCATGGCGGATCCATGCAGCATTTCGTAAAAGGGTGGTGGTGAGAGGGTATTTACGATCGAAGCGAGCATCTGTGGGAAAGAGCCCCATCCACCCACCCGCGTGTTTCTGTTTTATTTCTAATTTGTTTGCGGTATATATACTGAGCGCCATGAAAAACGCATCACTTTTTTTCCCAAATATTTTATTACTAGGTGGTTTTGTATGTATAATATTATGCAATACTATGAACTATTGTTTCACACAATGCTCCCAAACGCAAAAAAATATCGGCCCGTGTGCACACAAAAAAATTGCACGAGATGCACATGAAAAACCCAATATTCACGTGCAGCATTGTGTGTGAGCCTTTTAAAAGCATGTTTTCAACTTAATGTGCAGTACATGGACTGTGAAACGTCAATCTGTCGTAATATGTTGTTGGACGTGTGAAGGAATCGAGCTAGAGATGCCGAGACTTACTGAAAATCAACGGAATGAAGCCATGGGAATGTCCAGGGCTGGCATGTCTACACGTGCTATTGCCAGACACTTCAATTGTCATCAGTCCACTATTGTAAGGTTGGTAGGGGGGTTGGATGGCTGAATGGGTAGCGTGCGCGCGCTGTATCATAAAGTCTGTCATTGAATCGACTGGAGTAGTTTCGAATCCCCGGTTGTACGTGACAAGGAGTAGGGTCGCCTGTCCAACCTCGTGGGTTTTCTCCGGGTCCTCCGGTTTCCTCCCACTGCTAAAGACCCCTATGCGCAAGCGAATTATTGAAATAAAATTAAACCATATGTTAGTCCCGAAATGACCTAGTTTGTGTCGAGTGGACGTTTAACCCCATTTCTCTCTCTCTCTGTAAGGTTGGTGGAACGTGTTCGAGTTACTGGATCAACACGTGACCGTCAACGTCCTGGTCCACAACGCGTTACAACCGAGGCTCAAGACCGCTACATCCGGGTCACTCATCTACGTGGCAGATTCCGCCCAGCGACTCGAACAGGTGCAGCAGTGGTCGGAAGACAAGGACCAGTAAGTGCCAACACCGTAAGACGTCGTCTAAGAGAAGTACGACTCCGTGCACGACGACTTTATCTTGGAGCTGTCCTCAGGGATCATCACCGTCAGCGGCGTTTGATATGGGCTCAAGGACACCAGGCATGGAGAAGAGTAGACTGGCAAAGTGTGCTCTTCAGTGATGAGAGTCGCTTTCATCTTTATCACGCTGATGGCCGTCAACGTGTGTGGAGACGTCTTGGGGAACGTCTTGCAGACTGCTGTGTCTTCGAAACGAATCGATAGGGTGGGGAAGTGTAATGGTGTAGGGAGGCTTCACATTTCATCACTGGACCGCCCTACACATTTGCAGGGGTCGCGTTAATGCTGTAGCCTACCGTGATGATGTCTTGCAACCAATTGTTGTTCCGATGTTTCGAGCGCACCCACAACTTCAGCACTTCCAACAGGATCATGCACGTCCGCATACCGCCCGTTTTAGTATGGACTACCTGGCTGCTAACAACATCAATATCTTGGACTGGCCAGCCATGTCTCCGGACATGTCTGGGATGAGATTGGACGCCGTCTGTATCGTAGAACACAGATGCACACCATTGCTGCTTTAGAAGCTGCTCTTGTCCAAGAATGGAACAATTTGCCCCAGGTCTTCTTTCAAACATTGATAAATTCCATGCGACGTCGCTGCACAGCGTGCGTAAGAGCCCGTGGAGGACACACGCGCTACTGACATCTATGTCGTACTTTTGGTTTTGACCCCTCTGACTTTGTACCGTTGATTACACATTAAACATCCATAAGTGTACAAATGTATTGTTATTGATGTGTTCCCATTTGAATATTGTTCACAATAAGAAGCAAAATAAATAAGATATG